TAGCATGTATGTTACCTTTAATGTTAGAAAGAGAAAAATAAGAATATATTGCTTGTATTTGCATAAAGAAATACTGAAAGAGTACAGAAGAAACTAGGGTGTACTTGACTACACATTTTGGCCCCATGCTAAATGGCCAAATGTTAAAAATCAATAAGTGGCTAAGCTCAAGGCTGGAGTCAAATATCACCATCACAAAATAACCTTCTGGGATGCAAGAAAGTATATATAAACATGTATATAAATGTTTGGTTGTAATTACTAGTTTGCTATTGAAATTTATTAGTCATAGTTTAAAAGTTTGACATTATAGTCCAGAGGCAATAATTCTTTTTTAGCACTGTCACCTGCTATGGGATATTCTGCTGGACACTTTAAATACCAAATAGTTTCATTCTGCTAACTGCAGTTAGTGTAGGAACAAGAGCCTGTTTTAGCCAGGCCTGGCAGTACAAGGTCCTACTGATGGTGCTATTGCCATTGTGCTACTTATTTTGTCTTCTTCCCTGGTGGTAACTAAATTAAAGACTTACCTCCTCAGCTCCCAGACCTGAAGGTTTGGAAAATGATGACGGTGCACTTTCAGTGAAGCAATCCCATCAAGTCCATACAGAGACTTCAGATTATTATCCTCACTTACATTCTGTATTCTTAATACATTCACTTGGGGAAAAACACTTGTCATTAAACATTGGATCTAGAAATGTAGCATTAGAACAACAAAACTGGCTTCCCAGATGATAAATTGCATCTGAATTTCCATCTTATTTCAGCTTTTGCTTTATGCACATCAATTTCAGCAGTCTCTCTAGGGGAAAATAATAAATGACATTGAAGTAGGTATTTAGTTCCTCAGCTTCCACAGTAGTGAGGGCCACGCAGAAGCCAAAATGCATGTGTTGGCTAAATTCTGAGGCCCAAGACAAACCTTGATGCATATCATATAAAGTTATTCAAAGTAGAACCTTGTGTATGTATTATATGTTAATAATTTTTAAAATAATAAAATCTTTTAAAAATAAATCTGCATCACTTATTTACTTATAATATTATGCCTTTACTTGTTTAAAACAAAGAGGTACTTGTTTTCTCATAAGAAAAAAAAAGGACTGTCTTAATCTATACTTTCAGTCCTAAGAAAATATGTGTAGTCTTTTATCACAAAAGCTGGGTTAGTGCCAACTCAACAATGATATACCAATAGTAGATTATTTATCACAATTTATTTATTGGTCACTAAAATTTATTCCTAAACCAGAATTCACAGTGAGCAATCATGGTTTTCTATGAAAGACATTCTAAAAAATCTGTTCCTATAGCAAACTGCCCTAGGTCTCATGGTCTCAAGGTCACAGGTCAACCATCTTTGGGATGATTAAAATAAACTGTTCGACATTGTCGGAAAGCTCTTTGCCCTTTGTTGTAAATAAACTTAGAAACTCAGTTTGAGGTTGGCAAGATACACAGTAAGCGTAAACAAGAAAAAATCTTGGCCTTAATTTGACTAATGTTTATTTTCTTAGTGTCCTTAAGATAAACGTTTTGTAAATATTTTCAGTTTTCACATTTATTCCTATTACAGGAGGTAATGGCTAATTCACCACTTTGCATTCATTTTCATAGCACCTATGTTAAACAATCTCCCTGATTTTCGAGGTTCTTCACTAAACTGCCCATTTGAGACTTTTGGCCTCTGGTGTCAGCTTAATTTTAATCAAGGATGAAACAGCAATAAATGATAATTATAATTTTCTACTGCTACACCTTGTGATATCTATTAATATCTTTATTTTCAAATCTCCTGAATTGTTTTTTATAAATATAAATATCTCTTATAAATAGCTTGTAGCTGGATATATTTCATACAGTCTCTTTCTTTTAATAAGCTGGTTACATTTAATAAGCTGGTTACATTTATACCATGATTTATTGAATTATGTTGAAGATCATTCCTCCAATTTTATTCTGTGCTTGCTACTTAACCACAATTTCTAATTCTTTCTTCCCTTTGCGTTCCACCCACTTTCTTGCCTCTTATTGCATTGTTTTAGTTTTCTCTGATCCAACTTTTTGTTCCATGAGTTTGAAATTGTCAGAAAGATCTGAAGCTATATCACATTTATAAAAAATAATTAATTAGAAAAAAATCACATATTTTTAAGGACTGATTATTAAATTAGAAAATAACAATAGATAGCTTGAATAGAATAGACACAACTGAAGAATGAATTAATGAGCTTAAGATCAAGACCAAAGATTTTCCCAGAATGCAGCAAAGGGATAAAAAGATCTTAAATCTGAAGAAAAAGAAAAAAGTTAAGAATGCTTTCTGATATTGTTATGTGTATAGAGAAAGGGTGACTCCTATACTTTAGTCAAGCTCCAAACGTTCCAGCTTTGGCCTAGTTGGAATTCCAGAAGGACAGAAGAGGGAGGCAATAGTAAAAGAAACAGTAGTAGAGAATTCTTAGCATGAAGGAAGATTTGTGTTCTCAGGCTAAAAGAACCCACTGAGTGCCAAAAATAATACAAAACACCGCCACCAAGAACAAAAACTATATCTAGACACACTATAACAAAATTTTAAAGCTTCAAGAAAATCCTAACAACTTCCAGAGGGGAAATCTTAAAGAGAGACAAGAAGAAGACTGATATCAGATTTCTCATCAGCAACGTTAGATGGAAGATGACCTTTAAACATTTAATGAAACTACTATAATCTCGATACAAAAACCAGACAAGGACAGCATGAAAAAGGAAAAAAAATACATGCCAATTGCGTTTATTAACACAGATGCAAAAAAATCATAAGCAAATGCCACCAAACCAAAATGAGAATTCATATCATAGGAGATCCATCTTACATTTCATAGATTAGGAGAAACTAAGAGATCTGATAATGCAAAGGTTGGGGAAAATGTGGAATAGTGAGACCTTTAAACATTGCTGTAGGATTTTAAATTGGCATAACCCCCTAGGGAAAAAAATAGTGTTACCTAATAAGCTTACAGATAAAGGTATCTCATGAGCCAAAAATACCAGTAGTAGGTACATACCTTAGGGGGAATCTCTTGCACATCCGTACCAGTAGATATATATAAACATGTTCATAGCACCATTGTTACTAGTAGCAAAAGAAGAAAAAAGTATAGGGGTCCAGGTGCAGTGGCTCATGCCTGGAATCCTAGCACTTCGGGAGGTTAAGGTGAGAGGATCACTTAAGGCCAGGAGTTTGGGACCAGCCTGGACAACATTGCAAGACCCTGTCCCTACAAAATATATTTTTCAAAAACTGAAACATATGTGCCTCTGTAATATTCGGAAATAAAAGAAAACATATTGAAAGGAAATTAAGCAAAGTAGCAAAAGTAAAAAAAATAAAATAAAAAAAAATAAATGTAGTCATCTGATTGGATGAGGAATATTGCTCAATGTTGTGTAATACTCCAAAAAGATACCTTAGGAGAAACACATGGGTTCCTGGAAGCTGGTCTAATAGCCTAAAGACAGAAAAATTCACTCTTTAAACAAGACATTTCATTTAAAAAACTTGTAAAAACAGGCTGCCCTAACTGTGCATGAACAGGAAAACCAAGAACCCAGCTCAGATATGCAAGTTTCAGCTAACATGGCACCCAGAAAAGGGAGGACTGCCTGTACAGAAAGAGAAAATAAGCACTGGGGATTTATTTTTTTGGTATTTTTGTACACTGTCTTCACAACCCCAGTGAAAATTAAAAAGAATGCAGAAAAATGTCTCATTAAAAAAAAGCTGCCTGAAACATTTTCCTGAAATGAGTACAATGGGTTTAAATTTAGGCAAATCCTGTAACATTTCAGAATATTCTCAACTAAAACCCACAAAACCTTTCTGATAAAATTAAACAGCAACTAAATTAAAAACAAAACAAAACAAAAAACAAAAAAAAATTAGCCAGCCATAGTGGCTGTCCTAGCTGCTGGGAGGCTAAGCCAGGAGGATCCCTTGAGCCCAGGAGTTTGAGGTTAGGATTGGGCCACTGCACTCCAGTCTGGGTGACAGAGCAAGACTGTTTCTAAAACAAACAAACAAAAAAAAAACAAAAAAAGAAAAAAGGGGGGGAGGGGAGGAAGAAAGGAAGAAGGGAAGAAAATGTAAAGGAATGGTAAATACAAATTTCCGGACTATTTGTGGGAGTAGACAATGAGAACGGAATGAGATCAGGAGTGAGGCATACATGAACTGCTTCAATATTATTGGCAATATTTTGGCTTTTAAGTTGGGCCCTGGTTATGAGAGTGTTTGCTTTATTATCAATTTAGTATTATACTTACTTTATTCTTTATACTTTTAATAATATTTAAGAATAATTTATTATTTATGCTTTTCCTTATTTTAAATTTTACTACAAATTCAAAATACACACACATATATGTACAAAAGAAAAATATATATGAAATAGCACAGAAATAAAGATAGTTTTTAAATGGATCTGAGGGAAAATGACATCCTATTCCTAAACAAAGTGGGAATAATGACATTTTAAGACATGCAGGGACTCAGAAAATGTATCATTCACAGAATCTCCCTGAGATAATTACTAGGACATGTTCTCCAGGAAGAAGAAAATAAAAAGAGAAGGAAGATTAACTGGTATGTAAAGAGCAATGTGAGCAAAGATATTAGTAAATGGCCATTATCAAGTGTAAATAAGAGGGGATGAGGACATTAAATATCTGGAACAAAAAACAGTCAATGCCTCAGTACCCTCCGTGGGATTGGTTCCAGAAGCTTCCACAAATACCAAAATCCTCAGATGCTTGAGTCCCTTTTGTGAAATGGCATAGTACTGTATTTGCATATAACCTACACATAATCCTCCTGGACACTTTAAACCATCTCTAGTTTACTTAGCATACCTAATACAGTGTAAATGCTATATAAATGATTGTTACACTGTATTTTATTTGTGTTATTTTTATTGTTATATCATTATTTTTTATTTTTTCAAATATTTTAGATGCACCATCAATTGAGTCTGCTGATATGAAACTCATGGACACAGAGGGCGAATTGTATTCAGGTGAGATCAATATAATTGATGGAAAAGAGAGGGAGTAAAGTGAAGTAAAGGGATGTATGTTAAAGAATTTTCTTTTAGTGGGAGATGCTATAAATGTTGATTTTAATTCTATGTGCATTACAAATTTAAAGTTGAAAATACAGTGAATACAACAAGACCTACAACTTTTCAAGCCACTAGACCAAAAAACCAAAGGAAACTCAGTCTAACAGAAGGCAGGGATGAAAATTCACATTGGCTTACTTATAGTGACCTTTTTCTAGCACTTCACAAATTCTCGATTTAATGGTTTGTCCAGAATGTGACTGCCAATTAATAACAATAATAATATATCAATTAAAATAATAGTTGTTTACTAAGTATATATTATCTCCCAAACATTACATTAAGCGCTGCCATGCCATTTTCTCACTTAATCCTTCTAATGACTCCATAGGCTAGATCATGTTACAGAAGACAAAACCAGAGCAGAGAGTAAAAATATTTGCCAAAGATCATGCAGCTAGTAGGAGGCGTGCAGGAGTTCTAATCCAGGTCTGTCTGACTCCTGCCTGAGATTAGACTCTTTACCAAGTACTACATGTCCTGTTAACTCTCAACTGAAAGTCAGATTTTATGTGTTCTAGCCTCTTTCCTTCTGAAATACCATCAATTCATCATCTCACACTTGGATTATGCATCATTCTCTCTGTTGCTGTTCTTTCTCTAGTTTTTCTCCCTTATAACGCACTGTTACATTCATCTTTAAAATGTCATGTCATTTCCCTCAAAACTTTGAACCAGGTCTACCTGTTTTTCAAAAGCCTCCAGAATATATAAAGCCACATCCCAATATAATTTGACACCATTATCTATTACTAATACTCACCTTCCTTAGGAGAGCAATACCCTTACTCTTCTCCAAGTGTCATGGCCCGTTTATAGGACGGAGGATGAACACAGAACACAAAACACAAACGCAGAACACAAAGAAAAACGCAGACACACGTACAAACAGTTGACTCGAGTAATAATACACCGGGTCAGTTTTATTTTTATACTCTAAAAAATTAAAGTTAGTTCCTTGTACGTAACCACCCAGGCATTGCAGCAATGGCCATAAATTCCGGAATACGTAGCCTTAGGGAAGCAGATATCCCCTGGCTCAAGGTTTCCAGGTGGTTGCTATAGGAGCTAGGCATAGATCATGGACTGAGATTAGCAAGGATGGGCAAGGCAAGTCACAGGGGGCATTTCTCATCCCCAGCTTTTCTTAGGGAGATCCCCTAAGATCTTTGGCTGAACCCCGGCAGCTGTGGCTGGCTTAGGTCGCCCCTCCCTTGAGGGGTCTTAGCCGTCATTGACTAACCAGCCATCTTATGGGGTGTATGCAGCAATCACAGGAACAATGTGTTTATCATATGGCCTCCAGATCCCCAATGCCGTGGGGTGGGGTAGCTCTTGCTTACTTGCAACTCAGGTCCTTTGTTATGCCTCTAGGCATCAGCTTTGTTTATCACAGGGAGCCTGTCGGAACACATTACTTTTAAATGCTCTGGGCAGAGCACGTACATTACTAAATTTAATTCTTAAACTAGGAAAATATATGTCAGTCCCCTACACACCCAAGCACCTGATTTTTGTGTGTTTGTTGTTTCTGGCCAGTTTTACCCCACTTCCACCTTTGTGCTAACCACTCTGTGAATTTGCCTCTCTTTCCTGCACCATAACTGCATATTCTGTTTTTCTCTTTTCTAAATTCCTGTTTAATCATCTTTTCCACATGATTTGGGTGAAGCAAATATAATATTGATTAAGTCAATAATTGTGGGGTTCTATCCCCTTTGTCAATGATTGGTTTAGGGTTGAAAATTTAACTCAATTCCAGCAAGTGAAATGCGAGAGGAATCTGATGTGGGCTTCTGGGAAAGGCATCTTCTCTGGTAACAGTTTCACAAGGATACAGAAAGCTTTTTCAGCCTCTGGATGTTGGTGGCTGAAGATAGAGCTCTTGGACCTCCTAGTTGATCTCTGATCCTGCAGGAAGCAAGTTGACATGAGGATAACTGAGTAGAAAGATGGAAAGAATGGATTCTCCTACTTTATTTAAGGTAGTAAATATTCTAACTGTAAGCCATTTTTAAATTTGGTTTATAATTGCACCCAAAAGCCGCAGGAATGACCTGGGAGACTCTCTTTCTTATATCATGTCTCACCCATTAGCAAATCATGTTGACCTTGCCTTTAAGAATCTGCTCAGAATTCAGCTACTTTTCATCATCTGCTGCCACACAGGCTCCAAAAGCCATCATCTCTCTCAGGGATTATTTCCACAGCTTCCTCCCTGCCTTCTCCCTCGTTCCCTTTCAGTTCATTCGCCACACACTATCCGGAGTGTTCCTCGTAAAAAGTAGGTCAGATGATGTCACATGTCCCCTTAATACCATCCAAAGGCTCCTGTTCTCACTCCGAATAAAATCCCAAGTTCCCGTTATGGCCTGTGAGGCTGTGCGGGCTCTAGCTGTCAGCTGCCTGTTGGCCCTTTCACTCTCTTTTGCCCACACAGGCCTTCTCGCTGGGCCTTGTACACCCCAAGCATGAAATGCGGAGCCTTTGCACTGACCGTTTCCTCTGCATGAAACTCTCATCCCAAGACATCTGCAAGCCTCATGGCCTCCAGACCTTGGCCCAAATGGCTCCTTGTCGGGGAGGCCTTTTCTGAGTGTCCTACCTAAAATAGCACAACCTTCCTGACCCTGTCATACTCTATTCCCATCATTTTTCTTCATCGTGTTTACCGGCTCCTGACATATTTTGAATTTGCTTATTTTTTTATTGTCTAGAATACAATTAGAATGTCTGCACTGTGATGCAGTGACTGTCTATTTTATTCCCTGCTCCATCCCCTTTGTAAAGCACCTGGCACATAGTAGGTACTCAACAAATATTTATTGGATGAAAAAATTAATGAGAGCATCCTGAATTATATGATTTTAAAGTGTATGTTTAAAGTAGGCTTGGCAGGTGTATACAGTTTATTAAAATGCATCACAGTTACCATTATTATCTATGCAATCACTGTATGTGTATGATTCCTCCATAAAAACAAATCTAAAAAAATAACAGAACAGTAGTGATGTCAGCCCCAAATAAACCACTTAATGTTCATGGATATTTGTTTTTTAGACTATAATTAGGAGCCTATGATTTTATTATTTTCAAAGGTATATTATTCTATCTTAGCTAGACTTTGCCTCATTTCTGTGAGGTATAAAAATTTAACACTAAAGCATCTTATACACATATACAGACAACTAAGTTAATTATCTTTTCTATACCCCAAGAGGCTAACAGGGTATCACACAAAGAGCTCAGTAACTATTTGTGGACTGAAACCAAATGGTAAAAGGGAAAGTGAAGAGGGCCAGCAAAAGTCCCTGGCAGTCACGGATTCCAGGGTCCTCCCACTTCCCTCCTCATTTCCTCCCATGATGACTCAGCAGCAAGTGTGTGGTTGGGAAGAGGACTCTGTGGCCCCAATCCCTGGTCCAAGTCATAGACAACCACTGGCGAGCCGTGTGACCTTCAGGAAGTCACCCAGTCTTTCTGGGAAACCTCATTTTTCTTCTCCATGAAATTGAAAGAGGATATTCAATTTCCCATTCATTCAACAGGGATGTTGTGAGGAATAAGAGCTAAGCAAAGTCCCTAAGCATAGTAGGTGGCACATCTGAAGTGCTAAATGCATATGAGCCCCTGTTGTAATGGGAATTTCCCTTTTTTTTCTTCTTTCTACTGGTGTAGGAATGTCGGGGTTCTAAATGCACACAGGTTAGTGACTTCCTAAGAGACACAGAGGAATGGAGAGGCCTGTTGGTGGGGAGAGGGGAAATGCCCTCTCAATGGAAGCAAGGGAAACTGGGTGAGGTGGGAGTAACCCATGGCGCCTCTCTCAGACCTTGTAATCCTTTGCCCAAACAAATGGCTGGGGCTTGGCTGGGGCTTGGGGGATGCCCAGTCCTCCCCCAAGTACTACCAGTGGGAGTTTAGTCATGTAAGGGTTAATGGAGGGAAAAAACCAAAACACGTTTCCATGAATACGTGCCCCACCTCCCACCACTATCATGTGATCAAACGGACCCTAGAGCCTCCTGTGAGGTGCTGGCATGGATCACCCGACATGGGACCCACAGCAACAGGACCAGGCCCATTCCCAAAGGGCTACCTCCTAAAACCAAGGAATCCACCCAAAGACACACTAGATTCTGATCCTGCTCTAACCCAGGGGACCAGAGGAAGAAATTCTGGGCCATTTTAGAAAAACCATTTCGTCCCAGCTTCTATTAACCAAGAGGTCAGAATTGAAAGTAGCAGACTTTTAAAATCACTAACAGTTTCTTAATGATTACAAAAAAAGGATATTTATCTGTCCTGGACAAATTTTTCATTTCACTGGGCAAAAAGCTAAAATGTCCATTTGGAAGCCTGACATCTGTGGTGGTCAAGGTTCACTCAGTCCCAGAAAGCCCCTGGGTCTGCACCCTGCCACCTTTGCCATTGCAACGAATTGAATCTCCCTCTCTTGAACCTCGTGTTTAGTAACATTGTCCTTGTGCAACACGATAATAATACTGCTTTGCTTATTCTCAGCTTATTAAATGTGGTTTTATACAGAATGTGCGGTTACTTGCATTTTGCTGGATTGAAGTAGATTGAAGGTGATGGGGTGAGCTATGGGGACTATAAGAGGCAGTGACTGAGACCTCAGAGTCCTAGATAAAGTAGATCAGATTCTGATTTTACACAAGGCACTGTGCAGACTGCTGAGAGCTGCCCCTGGCCTTAGAGTCTAGTACCACAGTCCTCAGCCCAGGCATTGGCCAGGATCACAGTCTATTATAGCAGTACAGCAAGAGAGCTTAAAAAAAATCTGCAGTACCTTTTTTCTGGGGTTGAAACCATTTTTAGAAAGGTTTTGCTTCAGAGTTTTGAATATATTTAGAATCGCATAAAGGCCTTACATAGACCCTTTGGTTACATGAAAAAAATATCACTGGTGGCAACCCATGGGAAGAAGT